AATTCAATTGAATTGTTAGTCACAGAAAAAAAGGCTGTGAGGGACAACGGGAGCTAGGATCAGTATAGGAAAAATTTAAATCCAGGTCAGATTTCCCTAAGATAAACAAATTTTCCTTTGATCTGCACACATAGGTAAGCAACATGCCTTTGGAATAAGATGAAAGACATTAAAACTAATTTTTTAAAAAGGATTTACTACTGTATCTATTTTTGGCTGGATATGTTTCACAGACCTATTTGGAGCTTTTGTGTCACATCCGTAGTTATCTGATCGGTCTAACCTAATGACACTGACTCTCTTAGTCTCGCCTTCGAAATCAACCCCCCCCCAGAGCTTTACTAGACTGATACACAGTGTATGTCATATCAGTCTGGCCAACTAGATCAATCTGATGTTGATATTACTACTGTGTCCTTACCCTCTAAAAATACAGTGGGCAGTGAACTACATAACCAATAAAAATTTTGTAAAAGAAAAAAGAGATGCTTCAGACACATCAAGAATGGTGTTTGCTCTATTAAATGCATTATGTCTTACATCATGTTTGGGGGGAACATTTAGAATTATAGACTTAATCAATGAGGAAATCACATTTTGACCTGTATGTAAGAATATAAAACTGACCCTAATTTGATTTCTGCCTAGGTTCTGGACCAACCAGCGTTTAGCCTGCAGACCAGTGTTGTAGTACTCAAGATCGGTCTTGGTCTCAAGACCGGTCTCAAGACCATTTTTTGATGGTCTCGGTCTCGTCTCGGACATGACCTCATTTGGTCTCGGTCTTGTCTCGGTCTCGGGCGCTGAGGACTCGGCATTTTATTTCAAGACCACAACTGTGGAAATAATGCTAACTATCAGAATATTATCAGTTTCTTTAAGATCCTTCTTTTTATTAGATGCTTGGATTCAAATCCAAGCAATAACCTGTCTCATTGNTCCACGTCAATTTCTGACAATTTACGGGAGTTTTCGGCGAAGCCTGCAAATTGTCGTAAACTGCCGCTAACCTGAAGTTCCACGACAATCTGCAGTGCCGCATATTGACGAAAATCCCACTTTTCATGCAGTGACACCCCCACTCCCTCTCCGGCGGGTCAGCCTGACGCCTGCTTCAATCCCACTCTTCTTCAGGTTAGTTTCCCCTATGGCCTTGGTCGTCACCTCCATGACCAGCAGTTAGCTTCTCGAGTTAGAGGTTTAAATTCAGTCACCAAGATTACACCCACTGCATTCAGAGCACCCCATATTGAGGAGTCCGAGTTATAGGACTACTTTTATGGGCAAAGGGAAGATCTATTCCCTTTCCTTCCACCTCCATCAGTTCCCTGGAATAGTCCCAGAGACTATTCCTGGCCTCCAGCCACATGGCCGCCCTCCAGAGACTCTGTTTGCCCTCGCCCACCTTTGGTGGGTTGTTTTGGTTTTCATTTGAACTCTGCGTTTCGTTTTGTTTTGTGCCCTCCTTCCTGGTTCCCCCTCCGCTCTCCCTGGGTTGGTTATTTTGTGTTTCTGGACATTTTAGGGCGTCTGGGATCCGCCCTTAAGTGGGGGGCACTGCCATGGTCTTGGTGCTGTTGTTCTTTACTTTGCTCCTTGTTTTCTAGTTTTATTGGTTTAATTCCAGTTTTGCTGTAATTTCTAGATTTGTTAGTTCTCATGTTTTTCTGTTGTCCTCTATTGCCCTCTTGTGTGTGTATGTTCCTTTCTCCTTGGCTCCCTTGTTGTCTCCTCTCACACCTGCTCCTTGTCTGCTCATTAGCCCTCCCTTTGTCTCTCCTGCTATATATGCTCTCCCTCTGCTCTCACTCTTTGTTGGTTCCTTGTCTATGCTGTCTTCCCATGATGTGGTCTACGTTCCTCGTATCTCCCTGGCGCCTCGTGTTTTGTTTCCACAGATGTCTCCATAGTTCTGGTTTGCTTTATATTTTTCATGTTGGATTTTGGACTTTTGGATTCCCGCCTCTGTTACCTGTGTTTGTTTCATTAAAACTGCAAGAGACCCCCTTAGCCTTTCGGCCTCTGCGTTTGGGTCCTCAAACCACAACTAAACCCTGACAATTGGTTATTTCGTATCTAGGAATCTATATAACTGACAGTTACACTCTTGGGCAGTTTATTTATATAGTCATAACAGTCACAACACGTCATCTCGAGGCACNAGATTAATTTTTGTGATTTTGATCATGTTTCACATTTTATTGTCACATACTGGCACTGGTCTTGGTCTTGACTTGGTCTCGGACCCTAAAAGTCTTGGTCTTGTCTCGGTCTCGATACACTCTGGTCTTGGTCTTGTCTTTGTCTCGGGCCCTAAAAGTCTTGGTTTTGTCTCGGTCTCGATACACTCTGGTCTTGGTCTTGTCTTGGTCTCGGGTTAGGTGGTCTTGACCACAACACTGCTGCAGACTTGTGGGCTTTCATGTGCTGTTTGGAATAGAAGGGTGTTTGGGTGATATCTATGTCTTCTGTCAAAACTCATTTATTTTTATCATATATAGGTTCCATCCAACATATTGGTGTCATGGTCTTGGTTCTGTTGTTCTTTACTTTGCTCCTTGTTTTCTAGTTTTATTGGTTTAAATCCAGTTTTGTTGTAATTTCTAGATTTTCTGCTCCTTGTCTGCTCATTAGCCCTCCCTTTGTGTCTCTCTGCTATATATGCTCTCCCTCTGCTCTCACTCTTTGTTGGTTCCTTGTCTTTGCTGTCTTCCCATGATGTGGTCTATGTTCCTCGTATCTTCCTGGCTCCTCGTGTTTTGTTTCCCCAGATGTCTCCATAGTTCTGGTTTGCTTTATATTTTTCATGTTGGATTTTGGATTTTTGGATTCCCGCCTCTGTTACCTGTGTTTGTTTCTCAAACCACAACTAAACCCTGACAATTGGTTATTTCGTATCTTGGTTTTAAATACAGTAGGAATCTAAATAACTGACAGTTAGACTCTTGGGCAGTTTATTTATATAGTCATAACAATCACAACACGTCATCTCAAGGCACCTTACAGTTCACCAGATCATATAGTCAAATTGATTCAAAGTTTTCTGACTAAGAAAATAACAGTTGATTGCATCAACTCATTGACTTGAATACAATCCCTCACACATTTATGCTTGTAGCGACAGTGGAGAGGAAAAATTCCCTTTTAACAGGAAGAAACCTCCAGTAGAACCAGGCTCAGTGTGAGCGGCCATCAGCCGAGGCCGACTGGGGTTCAAGGAGACAGAAGCAGAGATACAAAAAGCAGCTTGAAAAGGTGGCCCCGTCCAGGAAACACACAGCCAGGCAGACGAGCTCCAAGCCAGCTCCCATGTCATAGGATGAAGAGAGCACATCCAGCCAGTCACAGTCAGGGAAGCAGGACTACGCTGAAAAACAGGCAGATCTCCAACATCTATAATGAAAGGTGTTGATGGCAGTAGCACAGCTGATATTTCTCTCCAGGATGGTGTCACAGCCAGACAGGAACAGACGAGGCGAAGCTACTATGAGAAAAAGCAGAGAGAGCAAATGTTAGAGATTGAACTAACAGATTCTGCAGAGTTGGANGAAGCTACTATGAGAAAAAGCAGAGAGAGCAAATGTTAGAGATTGAACTAACAGATTCTGCAGAGTTGGAAAATAGAGATAGAATGAGGCAGAATGATGAAATAGGGGTCCCTATGTCCTCCAGCAATCTAAGCCTATAGCAGCATAACTATAGAGATAATTCAGGATAACCTGAGCCTCTCTAACTATAAGCTTAATCAAAAAGGAAAGTTTTAATCCTACGCTTAAAAGTAGACCGGGTGTCTGCCTCATGGACTAAAACTAGTAGTTGGTTGGTTAATTACATTCTCTATTTGATTCGTACCTCAATTAAGCTGTTTGAGATATAATTTCTAAGTCACAAAGATGCAGGATGCCAGATACCACTGACACAGGCCTACCTACTAGGTGTATTGGGGTAGCCAGAGGATTTTAAAAGAGGATTTTTTTCACCAATTTAGATCCTCTCCTACAATAAAACTATGTAACAAGATCAAGAAGCAGAGAACAGGTGTTAAAAAAAAAATCTGAATCATTCACATAATTTTATGATTATATAATTTATTTTGAGGGCTCCTTTCTAAACCTGAGGTGATCCTACTGAGAAGAACAAATACATAATAAAACATTAAAAGCATTTATTGAAATGAAAATTGAGTAAAAAAAAAGCTGGAGGAAAGTTAAACTTTGTGTTCGATGTTAATAAACCAGTTTAAGGAAGTTATGAGCAGAGTTGCTGAGCTCTGCAGGAGTCAATGTTTATGGAGGGACAGTTTGGGAAAACTAGAAAGAATATCAATTATCCATTCAGGAGGTAAAAATGTATGGATATGGATGTCAGCTTCAGAGGGAGAAGGAAGAGGAGAAGTAGGTAACTGTAATCTTTGTTCATTTCAATGTTTATGTCTCCTCCTCTTCAACTGTTTGTTGAATTCCAAATTCAACAGTTATAGGAACACATATCTATTTTTTGCTGGTGTTTTTCTGGTGGTGTTAAGAATGTCCTATGAAAATAATTATTTTCTTTTCTCTATATGTGTTATATTTCTGTCAAAATTTCATCATGACACTTGTCATCACAATTGTTGCTGTTTATAATCACAATGAAGATTCTTGATTTTGTAAGCCCTTTCAAACTAAAACTTTCTGAGCTGCTCTTTGCGTTTTTCTCTACTGATAACTGAAAAGTCAACATTGTACTTTCAATTTTAAAATCATACTTTTTTACAAAATAAATGTAAATAGGAGATGCATTTATTTATTTGCATTGAACTGAACCTTTCCTTATCAATGCCTTTTGCATATGACTTTAAACAGTTTTTTCCTTTTCTCCTACACAGCCTTACTTTCTGATCACTGCTGCACTCTGTAAATGGTAATGTTAATATCACTGTTGTAGGCTGCTAATTCAATGTTGAAAAGCTGTATGCATCAAACATTCATTCTGTATACACTCTGTGTGTACATATTATACTAAACTTTGTCGGTTTAAGGTACGTGCTTATAAATTTAGGTTAAAAGGTCAAAGGTTTGTTTCCATAATTTTTAGTAAATATTTGCAGAGGAATTTAAACTCCTTACCAAATTTCTTTTTGCAATTAAATATTACAATCGCATGTAAAATAAAAAATCAATTTTGCAAATCTTATTTTTTATATGAAAACAAACTAGCTTTATGATGCCCATCTCAGAACCAGCTTCTTACACAGGCTGCGTATTTTGGACATATTCAGGCCGTATAGAACGGGGTTAAAGAGAGGCTGTCCAGTAAGAAAATAAAGTGCTAAAAATATTCTCAGCATTCCAGGAACATGAGTCATGTTAAATCTGCTCTGTATGATTTCAAAGGAAACACCAAAAGAGAAATTGATAACCGAAGCGAGGTGAGGAATGCAGGTACTGAAAGCTTTCTGTCGGGTCTGTTTGGATCCAGAAAAACACACCTTAAGGATCCTCATGTAGGTGTAGAGAATCACAGGCAGAGGAACAGAAACTGTGAGAAAAGTCATGAGAAGTTCATAGATGTTATTGACCCTGGGCTCTTTGCAAGCCAGTTTAATGATGGAGTAATTACCACAGTAAATTGTATCCATGATATTTCCACAAAGCCGCAGAGAGGAGCCTAAAATGATTCCGCCCCCAGCAGCTAAAAATGGTGGAAGCCAAGTAATGGACACCAGGAAGGCAATTTTCTTGGAAGTCATCAGTGAATTATACTGCAGAGGATGACAGATAGCAACATATCTGTCATAGGACATAACTGCTAAGCTGGTAAACTCTACAGTTGCATAACTATAAACACAGAAAACCTGTAGGAAACAAAGAGGAACAGAAATATTGTGAACATCAGAGAGGATGTGAAGCAGCATGAAGGGAAACAAGCTTGTGCTGCCGTACAGTTCATTGACTAACAGGCTGCACAGAAACATGTACATAGGCTCATGTAAGCTCCTGTTCACACAGATAACAATGATCAGTAGAACATTAGAACCAACGATTAAAACATACAGAAACAGGACGATGAAGAAAGAGAAGTACTTCAATGAACCTGTGTCAATGTAGGCAGTTAGAGTGAAATATAAAACCTGAGTGGAATTCATTTTCATCCTTGTATTAGTTTGTAATTCAATCATAATCATGACTCAGTAGGTGAACTATTGACCAAAAATATCCATCTGTATATATATCTGTAACTAAAATAGTTAATAAAATTAACACATTAACACAATATCAAATATATAAATGGTGTGTGTTTTTACAAAGCAAGAAGAGATCAATCAATAAACTGTGGAAAAGCCACACAGCTGCAGGCAGCAACAATTTAGGACCTGTGATGCATGCTAAGGCTAATAACTGAGCTGAGATCTGCTTCTGCTTCTCTTAAAGAGCCCATCCAGAGAGACACTCCCATCAGCAAACTTTGATGGTGATGGAAACAGCAGTTGATTTTAGTGTACTGAATTACTAGAACCAGTTCATCACAAGGAATCGTTCAAAGGATTTGATCAAAGAATTACAGTATAAACACACCCACACACATATTTTGGGTTTTAGATTTAAAAAAGAAACTAGCATGGCTTCGGTCACATTAAATGCACTATTGAGAGTTTCAACTTTCAGGCTTAGAACAAAAGGACCCAGTATTCATGGCAGAAAGGCAGTTAGATTTAACAAAGCAGAACTGCAGAGAACAGCTTCAGAGTGTAAGGCAGGAACCCCTGCAGGTTAGTAAGGTTAGTGACCACGTCTATCTGGCGGAGGATGATTACAAGCGTGTGAGTCACTAATTTGGTTCAGTCTGAGCTCAGAGGACGTCGTAAGTTTTAGCCAGTAGGCTGCCAATGAGCCGTGGTGGGTGCCGCTCCGAGAGTCCAAAGCGCTGGTTTCTAGGAGGTCGGGGGACAGGCAAGAGATCAGATCCAAGCAGAAGAAGGAGACAGGATAATCCAGAGGGCAGGGCCAAAGTCGGTTTTGAAGAAATGCTCGGTTGTCAGTGCCAGGAGATCAGAGGTCCGAAGAAGTGCCGAAGGAAAATTCCAAAACAGCGTCGGGAATCAGTTCCAGGTTTGGTAAATTGGCTGTTCAAAGACAGGTCACACAAACAGATCAGAACAGGGACAGACAGGCTTAGAGGTCCAGAGGCAGAATGAGTCAGGATCAGGCAATCGGTAACACTAAGGTACGCTAGAGAACTCTTACCACAGGCTTGAATAATCTGGCACTGCTGACTGGTTGGAAGGCTGGTAAAATAGAGGCTGAAGCAGGTGGAACAGATGAATGGTAATGACAAATGGGCGGAGATAGGCAGGTGAAAGAAATGAGTGGTCCGGCCAGTCACCAGCACCCAGATCATGACACGCAACTGCATTTTCTGATCCTTTACCTTAAAAATAGGTAATTTAAATCAGTTCTAGAATACTTTATTGATCCTAAAGAGAAATTAAATGCGTTAATTTATAGGGTTTTGTTATGAGTTCTAGAAGGTAATAGCTGTAGTCTGGAATGATCACCTTTAGTGGCCAGTCTTCCAGGACATCTGGGGAAGCTTTGACTAAATGGAGGTTTCTGAAAAGCATGCTGGGATTGTCCATATTGTCTTTATTATCTCCAGATGTTCAGGAAGGGTTCCCTGACCAATGCAGGTTTTCTCCTTAGCTTTTTATCTTTTTCAGTTATTTGCTCTGATGCTGTTACCCCAACAAAAAGCAGCAAAAGAGATCACATTCTCTATAACAGAAACATAGATGATATGCGGCACATTGCTGTAAAAATGACAAATGTAAGCTTCCTTTAGAAGAATAGTGGGCTTGCGCTTTCTTGAGAAACAGTTCCTTACCTGGTCGAGTCTGTTGTCCACGGAAAAAAATTAGATATTAATAGATCCTTAATCCATGATGGCACTGGTCGATGCCATCATGGATAATAGCGCATTGTGACAGACACCAAATCCAGAACTGGGACTTGCTCAATAGCCAATACTGCATCGTTACATCACAAACCGGCAGGTGGCAGTAGTGTTCTTTGACAAACATGGATGTCTCCAGTAAAGCACATTCAAAAGAAATTACTCTTAATTAAAAACACTTATCACTGATTGAAAAGTATGTAATAATATCATACTTAAAGTAATTTCTGAAGATTGTATTCTGAATGTGACCGGACTTTTCCTTTCAAGAATCCTTTACCTGTTCTATAATCAAATCAAATACCTCACATAATCAAGCTCTTCAGTTGAATTTCAACCCCAGGAATAATAACATGGTTTATTAACAAAGCTCCATGTTCATCTTTTTGTTTTCTCACAGCTTAAACATGTTCATACTTACAAGAAAAACACACCTTCGTAATAGAGAAATAATGCAACTTAAAAGAAGCTGGATTAGCCATGTATTTCATTCTAGACTCAACGCCAAGGCTTGAGGAACAGCCCTACTTATTCGTGATAATATTGTGTTTGAACAACACAAAATGATAGCGGACACAGAGGGCCGTTTGATAATTGTGTTTGATCCCATTCATCAGATAAGCCACAGGGGAGATTCTTTCTGATCCCAAGAAGATAAATGACAGATTTGTGTCATTCTATTCAGACCTTATATACCTCCCTGGCCCCTATCACTATAATGGAAGTGCAAGAAACTATCAAGTCTTTAAGCTTGGGCAAGTCTCCTGGCCCTGATGGTTTCACTTCAGAATACTAAGGTCAATGGGGATCTTTTGGCTCCAGTATTGACTGGCATATATAATGACCTGCCTAGCACCTTATCAGAAGCCACAATATTGCTATTCTTAAGAACGACAAAGACCCTTCACTATGCAGTAGCTATAGACCTATTTCCTTCCTAAATGTAGATTTGAAGATTTTATCTAAAATTCTTGCAACCTGTCTCCAACGAGTACTTCCCCTTATTATATTATCAGATCAAACAGGCTTTATGACTGGGTGACAGTAATTCCATAACACCAGACGTCTTCTAAATATTATCCATACGCCAGGCACTGTTGTGGTTCCGTTCTTTTTCAGTTCCACCGTTCACCCACCAGAGGGTGCCATTGGCTCACTTCTATCTTGGAGGGCTTGCTTATGCGTCTCTAATACCCACACCTGCAGTGAATGTCTCATCACCTCAAAGGAGTATTTGAGCAGCTGACTGTCATCACCTCTTCGCCAGAGTGTTTGCCTGTTTTGTGTACTAGCCCCTCTGTGTCATGATCTCGCCCGTTTGCTCCTCCTTAATTAGTTATTCCTTTCACCTGTCGTTTTCCCTCCCTGCCTCAATTATAATTTATTCCTCTACTATTTAAGTTGTGTGCTTGCCTCCCATCAGCACCAGGTTATTCATGTGTTTTTGTGAGACGTTCCCTAGCAATCTGTAGTCTGTCTGTGTTCCTGATTTTGACCAGTTTCTGCCCTGAGGATCTCGAGTTTTGGCTTGCCCCTGTCTGCTCTGTTTGTCTGATCTGATCCTGGATTCTACCGGCTTCTGAACCTGGAACTGTCTTCTGACTTCGGCCTTGGATTTCCCTTCTGGACTCTGTTGCTGCTCGGCGTCGCTCTCTAGGAACTCTGCGGGCGTCGCCCGCCGCATCTGTGGTCAAACCTCCCTTCTGGACTCTGCTGTGTTCTCTGCGAACAGACTGAACTTTAATCAGGTCAGTGACTAGCTCCAAGTCGTATTCAGCTCCACATCCAGTCTCTAACCTGTATTCTCCTATCCCTGCAGAGATCCGCCCCGCAGCAGACGAGCAGCCCCGCGCACCTGTTTGTTAAATAAACGCTTTGAACTTTCCCACTGCCTGTCTGCCTTGCATTCTGGGTCCTATATTCTGAGATCTTTGCACTCTGAGCTTTTGCTGAATGAATCTTTGAACTTTTCTTGTGAATTCATGCTCTTCTCTTTGTTTTGTAAATCTTCGGCAGGAAACCTACAGATCCTCAGGGATTTTTCAAGTCCTTCCAGCCCTGGAAGAAAACCTCTCGAGATGCTAAGAGTTCTTCTTCTTATACATTTCTCCCAGTGCTCCTTAACATTCTGAAACAATATAGCAGTCTTTCTGGATACAAGTTTAACTAGCAGAAAAGCCAATTATTTCCCTTGAACTCTCCAGCAAGGAAACTTCCACGCCCAATCTGGGGGCTTCAGTGGGAGGCTACCATGAATTTTATTTATAAATCCTCCATCTGTGCCTAGCATGTTTTAATATAATGTAAAATATGCTATAAAGTACCTTATAATGCAAAATTAGCAAAGACGGTATCAACATTTTTAAAATACTAAGACAAGCATATATTCAGGCTGTTCTACCCAGTCCATTATCGGCTATATTTGGCATCCCTCCAGACACGGACCTTTCACATTCTTTGAAACAGGCCCTAGCCTTTACTACCTTTTTGGCTCGAAGACTCATTTGACTTAGATGCAAATTAAACAATCCCCCCGTCTCATGACCACTGGGTCAGAGAAGTTCTTTACAACCTGAAGTGTGAAAAGCTCAGATTTTCAATCAAGGGTTCCACAAGCAAATTTATGGAGACTTGGAGACCTTTCCTTTCGGTGGTGGGTACCATGACCTTGCTACCTGATACGGAAGAAGATTAAATTGTATATTATTATAATATTTTTTTCTCTGCCTCCCATGGAAAGTGTGTGGATGGATATGTATGTACGTCGTGTTAGAAGCAGGGACTGGATCTCTGCTGGTTTTCTTGTGTCTTGACCTAGATGGGGTGTTCTCAGGGTGGGTTGGGTTTTGGGAGGAATCAGCTCAAAACTCTTCCTTTCTATAACTACTATGTTTTCATTGTACTAATGGTTGAGGTATGTCAAGCTGTAAAATTCAATAAATAAAAATTAACAAGGCTCCATGTTAATCTTTTTGTTTGTTTCTTCAAAGGTTAAATATGTTCATACTTTTTCATTTGTCTCCTTTCTCTGATGTTCTAAGACGTTTACTGTTGTCTTCATTCTTCAGAGTCAAGCTTGGTTGTTCCACTCATAACTTTATGATCTCTGCTTTTTCTCATCATAGTAGCTTCATCTGGTCTTTTCCGGTTCGGCTGTGATTACATTCTGAATTTAAATATCAGCTGTGCTGCTGCTATCGACATCTCTGTTTATAGATAATGGAGTTTGGCCTGGTTCCAGTCTAGTCCTGTTTCTTTTACTCTGACTAGCAGAATCGGTTCAGAGTTCATCTGCCTGGTGGTGTCTTTCCTGGATGGGGCCACCTGTGGAGCTGTTTAAAAGTTTCGCCTCTCTGCTTCCTTTTGTATGTCTCCTCCATTTCCTTGAACCGCAGTCAG